GACCGTGACAAACCCACTATATGCCAACTTGAATGATTGACCTTCTTAGAAGAACTTTGCTTTGCCAATTGGGTCTAAATTTGCTTGCTTCTTGGCACTTGATACTCCACTACAGATGATATTATAAATAATTTAAAAGAATAAGACTAGCTAGAATACAATATGACTATACACACACAGTGTGTACCGGTACCGGTAGGACTATCCCATTGCAATTTGAAGATGCTCTACCGTATTTTGTGGCGGTTTAAAAAAAAAATCATACTGTTTTTGATTGCGCCTCACATACAGTACCGTATAAGTAATTTGCGGGATTTGTTTTTGGACGGTGTGAGAAAACCCACCAGGACTTCTAATCTTGTGGTTTGCAAGTGAAGAAGCTTCCGATCGGCGATTTTGTCCCACAATAAATTAAGAATACTCGCGAGATGCCTTTCAATGTATAATACCGTATTGGTAAAAAGTTTGTTCTGGACCGTTCCAAATAAGTCTGTTATCGTCATATATAAATACTGTAGGTATACATATAATATGAGATCGAAAATTATTGAATTTCAAATTGGTTGCAAACATCGCTGTCATTATATATTCCCACTACCGTATAATTTCTCAAGCACCTCCTTCGAATCTTACCACAATGAGCAAAAGTGGTAAAAGGAGCGATGCAAAGGCTTCACAGTCAAAAAGCAAGAGTAGACGAGGAAATAAGTCGAACAGCAGGACATCCACAATAAGCGATGAAACCAATGAACGACAGCAGAGTGCTGTTATGCCTGAACTTGGAGAGAAACTTCGTCGCATGAACGCTGATCAAAATGGCAACAATGTAATGAACATATCTCATTCGCTACCGAGACGGAGTCATCGAGGGTCATCCAGTCGGAAATCCTACAAAAACCCTTCTTCGTCTGTCATGAATAATGAATTGGAAAACAAAATGGAACGAATGCAGCGTGGTGGTTCAGGATCGACATCAGGAAGAAGACAAGAAGCCAGCCGACAGCAATCGAGACGGAGCTCATCGTCGACGAAATCCGATGGAAGAAGTA